ACTGTACTTTGTTAGGAATAAAACGATTAAGTGATTTTTATAATTATTGCAGGGGTGAGTTTATAACTACTAAATATCATGAGAAGAGGAAACGTTCCAACAACCATAAACATCAACCGAAGTTTCTAATTATCAAATTCACGAGAAAAGTGCATTATTCACAATCCACAAAACTAGGAACTATTACATGTAGGACCAATCCAATTATTATTATTGTCTGTCAAAATAGACATTGCATATTTGGGATTTGACAACGGGTTCTTTCTAAAGTTACAAAAAAATGATAATAATTGATTTAAAATTTTAATTATTACAATAAAATTGTAGTGAAAAATAAAAATATTAAAAGCTTTATATTTCAATTCACATTTCAATGACACAAATTTTGATATTTTTTTTTTTTTTGGAAAAAAATGATTCTTTTCATTATCGGTTAACAAAGAATTACGTATCCATCACATAACAAAATAAAGTACTTAGGGCATCTGTATTTGTTAATTTTTTTTCATTTATTCAATCAAAAAGGTACACTCTCTCTTCCACATCATTTCCAACTCACATTTCCACTAATTCTCTCTCCATTTAAACACACACCCACGTCCATACACATTCATTTAAATACAAATATGAGACTCATTATATCCATTCATTCAATATAAATTTTAATATTCTATTCTCAATAAAAATAAAAATTTAATATTTTTAAATTATAATAATAAATTTTAAATACATGAAAATAAAAGCACACTACAATACCAAAATAACTTACATTAAGATTACACAAGAAAAAAATAATACAATTACAAAATATAATTATTTAGTGGCTAAAATGAGTCCAAATATGCTCAACTAAATCGGCACGAAGTTGATGATGAACTGTGTTATCTCGTATCTCTGAACTTCTACGGATATAATTTTGAAATTCTCGATTTAAACCCTGGACAGGTTGTGCAGGCTCTTCATCCTCGTCATTGTGTCAATTTGTTACTACAACTCCTTCATTTTCAACAATCCTATTGTGTAGAATAATGCATGTCAACATAACAAATTTCAGTTTTCTTCTATACCAAAATCGAGCAGGACCTCTTACAATTCCCCATCGAGACTGAAGCACCCCAAATGCTCTTTCCACATCCTTTCGAGCAGCTTCTTGTTTTTCTTTAAATAACTTTCTTTTAGGATCTGACGGACAAGGAAAAGACTTTACGAACGTAGCACATTCTGGATATATTCCATCTGTAAGATAATACCCATTTGCATATTGCGTGTCGTTGACAGTAAAATGAATGTTTGGTACATTTTCTTGCAACACATTATTAAATAGAAGAGATTCATACAATACATTGATATCATTACGTGATCCTGCAACACCAAAAAAGGCATGTCATATCCACAAATCGTGTGAAGCAACCGCTTCAAGGATAATCATAGGAGACCCATGCCCTCTTGTAAATTGGTCTTTCCAAGCAACTGGATAATTTTTCCATTCTCAATGCATACAATCAAGGCTTCCAAGCATACCCAGAAAACCATGATTTTCTTCATGTATTTGGAGGAGTCTTTGAACATCGCTACTGTTCGGTCTTCTCAAATATTCATCACCGAAAATTTGAACCACACTTTCACAAAATTTAAAAAGACATTTGATAGCAGTTGACTCGCCCATACGTAAATACTCATCAAGGTGGTTAGCTGGGACTCCATAAGCCAACTGACGAATGGCTGCTGTGCATTTTTGAAGTGGTGATAAACTTTGTCTTCCTGATGCATCAAAGTTTTGCTGGAAATATGATGATTGTGTCTGAAGTGCATTCACAATTCGAAGGAATAATTCTCTTCGCATACGGAAACGCCTACGAAATATATGATCCGGGTAGACAGGATGATCAGAGAAATAATCACTTACAAGTTTGTTATGTCCATCTTCTCGATTTCTCTGGATGAACCTTCTTCTTCTACGAACTTCAATTTCATGTTGGTATACTTGAAGTAACTCGTGGCTTCGTTGAACGATTGATGAAATCATTTCAACTTCTAAATCGTTAGTGTTTTCACCATCTTCACTATCGGTGGATGATGATGAATTAGACTCGGATCTATATGAATTTTGAGATTTTTTGTGAGGATTCTTCTTTATCTTTCACTTGGAATGGGATACAAAATGGGATACAAAATGAGGTATTTATAGCCAAACAAATGCTTCTTTTGATGAAGTTGCGAGGAAGCTCCCTTCATTTGACCAGAAACTCACAAGGAAGCTCCATTCCTTTCACTAGGAACTTACGAGGAAGTTTCCTTTCTTTGACCAAGAAGTTGTAAGGAAGCTCTCTTCCTTTGACTAGGAAATTGTGAGGAAGCTTCCTTGTTTTGACTAGGAAATATGTGAGTTTGCTTTGAATAACAAGAAAAATTTAAATGAAATATAAGTTGAAAATTCAATTTTGCAAATTACAACGTACAGAATTACAAGGATAATTAAAATAGATAATGCAAAGGCTAAAAGTTCCATTTCTCTCGAAT